CACAGCAGCTCAACTGTTTACACAGCAGCTCAACTGTTTACACAGCAGTTCAAGTGTTTACACAGCAGCTCAACTGTTTACACAGCAGCTCAACTGTTTACACAGCAGTTCAAGTGTTTACACAGCAGTTCAAGTGTTTACACAGCAGCTCAACTGTTTACACAGCAGCTCAACTGTTTACACAGCAGTTCAAGTGTTTACACAGCAGTTCAACTGTTAAAAAGCCGGTCAAATGTTTACGAATGGTCTTTCAACTGATCATGGACGCTCATCCAACTGTTGATGAGAAAAGGCTCAACTGTCTACGCACGCTCATTCACTTTTTTTTTTTGAAAATATGCTCCATTGTTTATCAAAACAGACTCCAATTTTCACCACCACTGGGTCAAACGTACAAGCACGCTCATTTGAGGTTCACGACGCTCAGTCAACTATCATCATTACAAACTGCTTGCCACCGGGGACTATCGATCACCGCATCTACCCCTTCACCACCAACGCCAACCTCGACAGTCATCTCAGGTTTCCTGACCTGTTCGATAGACGTAGATAATGCTTCCTTGCCCAAGTCTGATGGTCTTTGACCGAGCTGACCGGCCTGTACGTGTGTGTATACATCCTCTACGTGTGTATATATACATCTTGGGAAATTAGGTTCTGGACGTAATACTACTATGCACGGCGGAATCAGGAACAGCAATATGCTGGGTTTATTCATTCTCTATTCAATGCTATCTTGAAGTTGAAACAGGCATCGGAATGGGCTCTCATGGCCATGCCAGACTCTTCGCCCGTGGCCCGAGCCTACAAAGGTGAAACATCGATGTTGGCGCAGGTCTTGGCTTCTTCAATTGCAGAGCGAGCATTGAATACTGGTCCCTAGCACCACGTAGAGATGCCTGCACTTGGCTAGAGTTGCTTGTTCTCGCAGTATCCTCCTGCGAGGCTTATTGATAACGCAGACCTATCCTGCGGGGTAGTCTTGTTCTCGCAGCACCCCCCTGCGAGGCATATTGATAACGCAGACCTATCCTGCGGGGTAGTCTTGATCTCGCAGCGCCCTCCTGCGAGGCATATTGATGACGCAGACCTATCCTGCGGGGTGGACTTGTTCTCGCAGCGCCCTCCTGCGAGGCATATTGATGACGCAGACCTATCCTGCGAAGCATGTTTGGTGACGCAGAGCTTGTACTGCGGACCCGTGGCCACGGAGACCCCCAAGCCTGCAGACAAGAGATGGAAACCATGACACACGGGAGTGTGAGGAGGAAAGTCCTGATTTTTTTTGGGCCGGAAATCTCGCGCCTTTTATGTCAAGTCGGCTACGTCTCTTCACAGAAACCCCCTGCGCAAATTCATAGAAACGGCCACTGATTTGGGAGGGCATTGGAAAAGTTACTTGGAAATCTTTGGCCAGGAGACACACCCCCCATGGATCCGTGGTTGGTCTCATGTTGCCAAGGGGACCAGCCATTGGTTCCATCAAATCGATCATCTAGACTGACCATTTCCTGCGGTGGGTTACACTGGCGACTGGGTACCAGAAATGATGAAATGGAAACCATGGATATGATCGCTGTGGCAATGCAACGCAGTTGTATTGCAAGTTGCGACATATGTATTACAATAGAGCATTCAAAGAGGGCTAAACGCAACGGCTATGCACGTGCAATCATAGGTACCATTGAAATTATTGTCGCGCAACGATGAAAAGCCTCTGCAGCGCATGTTGTCCTTGTTTACGTCCTTCTGAAAACCCAGTGAGTAGTATCAAGTAAAATGCTCGAAACGACTGGATCTTAGACCAGGGTTGAAGGAGAGCGGGCGTCACTCCGGAAGAGTGAGGTTTGCGGAACAACCCGATCGCTGCGATGCGTTGCGAACCGAGTGTCAAGTTTTTCTGTGGCAATGACTTGATCAGTTTTCATGATCAGAGAAGATATCTGAAGTTTAGTGCATCCTTCTCAGTGAGGTGCACTGCAGGTATCGAGCATTGCGAATGCTACTTATACTACGAAGGTAGCCGGGTCCAGACCTTCGTGATTATTTGGAAGAGAACTGCGACCGACTGTGAGCTGTGGTGTCAGCCATCAAGGGAGTGGTCATAGAAGAGCAATAAAGACCGGATAAGCGCGTCGTAGTAATTCCAACCGGTATCAGACTGGGAACGTGAAATTTACTTCACTAATAAACTTCTCATAGATATCCCAGCACTGTGCTCTGCCTCTGCTACGCGGCCTTTCATAAAAAACGCGACACTTGGGTCAAGAAACAGGATACCAAAAAGTTTCCGGTGTGAAAAATGAGTTCGTCGTGGACCCTGACCCATGGGATAAACACCACGTGTCATTTAGACTTTGTGTTCCCGAGCGATCATTCCGTTCTGGGCCCTCCAATTCTCCACTCTGGATGTGGGACCCAAGCTCTGCTAGACTCGAACCACACTCGTCACACAATTAGGCCATTTACAGCAACAGAGATGGGTCTGTCGAACTTTCCCGGTGGAAGACTTGAAGTAGGAACACTCGGGAATATTATGGCTCTCATCTTCCTGCAAATATGTCCCAATCCCATTGCCATAGATCGTCAAAGAAAGGGGTGGCAAATAGAGCCAAAGCCGGGATTTTCGGGCAGCGTCGATCCCGTTTCAGAACCGCGCGGCCCCACCATGAGTACTGCAGAACCATTCAAAGGAGTACCACGGAGCCCTGCCTTTGCTCCATGGTGCTTTTGAACTAACTTGGGCAGCATCCAAAGATTCTCTGATTGAACGAGCGCTCTCTTTCAGCAGTTGCACTTTACCTTTACGAGCAAGCAAAAAAGAGTGGACTTGTAGCAGTCGAGAAGCAGTCATTTCTGGACTGTGCAGAGTCGTCATACTCGTCCGAGAAGCATGTCAATGTCCTGGCTTGATCCTGGCTCGATGCGGGAGGGCAGAATCTCGTTGATCCCAACAATGCCGCCCATGCAGAGTCCAACTCCGAAGAGCCTTCGTTGCTACCATGGCACGTCAGCTGGGTCCGTGTCGATCTCTGGTCGATCTCCTGATATTGCAACGCTACCATCACACCTTGATAGTCAGGGCACGACGGACTCATTTTCAAACCCTGAACGGTCAGGCTTCAGTGGTCCAGGGGTCTTTGCCGCGCACATCATTTGCAGATCAGTGTTAATTTTTCTCCTCTGCAAAGTCAACACAACCACCAACAACCTATGAGACAAGATATGCCAGGAAGTAAACGCAGCGTACTTGCATCATCTGTATCAAATCGAGATCATATTCACAGCCCTTTATACAACGCAGCCACATCATCACGTCCTGCGAAGCAACGGTGAGCAGCCACAATAAATTCATTGTGCTTGCTAACTTCTCTCCATCTTCTTTAATACATCGAAACCAATCACAATGTCTCGCCCAAGAAAGATCGATGCCATCTCGAGTGAGTTCCAAATCTACATCTTCTGCGAATACGAATATTAACTAACGAACTTGAATCACAGTTCTGGAGAGTCTCTCTTCACTCTTGGGAATACGATCAGGAAAAATTCCCTTTCGCGCCCAAAATCGAATCCTCCAAGCCATACAGCAACACCTTGAGTTCCATACATTTCGGTTTGCTCACAAATGGCTGCCGGTGAAGTCTCTCATGAACGGGTGGACGTGCCCAGAAGAATTAGAGCTACACAGATTCTTCATATTTTTGGCAAGGAATAAGACCCGAGTACAGCACAGTGCCTTCCGCCAAGCGAGTCGCGCTCTATTGAGAATGAAAGGACCAGTGTCCGCAATTCGTCACGCTGCTGTTCATCGTCTGAGTCAGGATCGTGAATCTCTCCTGCAAATGAATCGCGTCGCCATTGAATTCGTGATGATCACCGGTGAGTCTTCGTCCCCTGCGAAGCTTTGCCGTCTCCTTGACTTCTTGGAGGCTAGACTTCCGAAATCAGACCGGCTTGCGAAACCCAGCCCGTTTCCGGAGCGGCCTTTAAAATCCAAAAGTTTTCTGCGCAGACGTCGTTACATAAAAACGAAGGCTCCACTCACACCACTACCAAAATCTACCATTGAAGTCGTACAATGGGTTGAGGGGTATTTTGTGCTGGAAGTGGAGCGCTTCTTGCATGCAGTGTTCTTATAGATGTTAACTTGAACTCTTCATGATAAACTCTTGTGTCGTGTTGAAAGCTATTGTGTATACCACAGATACATGAAGCGAAGAAGCATCCTAATAATAAAACTGATCTGATCTAAAAGTCTCACAATAAATTCGGAGCTAGGCTTTGTAGGTCATGAATAGGGGCATTCATTTCAGTTGCGGTCAAACGCACACCAGGGTGATACAAAGGCGCCTGACCATTGTCATGGCGACGAAGATAATGCATCTCGTGGTAGGGGTAGAAGCTTTGATGGTTAGCGGTCTAGGAGGTGGATTCTAGAATCCAGAAGGAGGGTCCCGAAGCCACTACGCCCCGGGCCCGACTCAGTAGTCTTGAGAAAGTCGTGGAAGCCTCCTAGCCTTCGCACGTACCAGCTGAAATGATCACATGCGCACATTCATGGAGACTCGGCAGGTGACTCCTTGTCCAATCGGCTCTGGTCTGCCCAGAAGAGATCCCGATTTGGCAAGTACCCGCGATGCTGTTGCTTGATTCAGTCCTACTCATCGCCCTCTCACTCGACAATATAGAAGACCCCCGAGTCATATTGTCATGGGCGCGATAATTTGGTGCCTGATCCCGCCGATTCTCCGCGGTTGCCTAGTCGTATAGCGTGCTATAGTGTCGTCAAGTGGTGCACGGAGCGGCAGCTCAGCACCAATTCTGGAACGCAAATGGTAAGAATTTTCAGCGCTGCAATTGAGCTTAAAAGCCTTCTGATGGTCTTTTTTCAAGAAAATAGGCTATCGATCATTCAGATATGTCATTACTGAAGCTTCTATAGTTCACATTGTCTATCTTACACAGCTGAAGTGTCCATGAACCTCGGCCTATCACCCACGTCATCGTAACCAATATCCCCACTGGATGTGCTCATAAAGCGGGTTTGTCTCTCTCAGGAGCGACGGCTCCGGTGATTTTATCATCGCCAGCGAGGGAAATCGATGATTCTTGTGAAAATCCTTTGTGTCGTCCAATGCTGACAGAAAGCTGAAACCAATCTGTGGATCAAAGCTGACTAAAACCAAAGCCCGATAGTTTGCTGGTAGATTTGGATATCGTACAGAGTAGACCATGGAACGCTCATCTGAGACAGCACGCAGTGTCTTGAAGGAACTGGGAGGACAGAGGAGCCGGCGAAGCTCGACTGACGCGTTCTCTGGAGGCCACAGGTAGGTGCGATGAGAGTCGTAGCGTTTTTTCAAGCCTGTTATGGGGGTTTCGCCTTCATTGCATTTTGTGGTGCTCGAAAGTAGGTTGTGCGGAAGTAGTGCGTCTTTCTCATCAATGAAATCCTCATGATTTCGAGACCTGGTGCGGAGACGGAGACGTTCTTGGAGCCGCACTCTGTTGGGTAGTGGATCGTTGACAAGATCAATATAGGTGCAAGCAGCTAGATTGTAGCTACAATGTCTTGTGCGTGCACGAATGAACTCTTGTCGGTCCTCTGGGCTGTCGGCTGGCTCATATTCCGCATGAAATTCATGACGCAGTCGCTTTGCTGGCCTGTGCTCATTGCGGTGCCGGTTTGACAGCTCAGATTCGAGAGGATCGCTCTCAAATTCGTCCGTTGCGGCTTCTTCGCCAGTTTCAGCAAGGAATTCCTCTGGTATTGGGAGTGGCTGTGAGTAGTAGGTGCGATGGTGCTCGCGTCTGTTGCCGGCCCACTCTCGACGGCATTCCAAGATGACCGGTCGGCCAGTGATCTCATCTGTCCGGATTGACATATTGGCCCACCACTCATTGATGGAACCTTCGGAATGCTCGCGGCGCCACAGACTTCTGTTGCAAACACGAAGCTTATCACTCTTCTCGCCAGGAGCACTGCAGAAGCAATGGTAGTACGAGAAATAGTTCTCCATCCTGGATAGATACGGCATAGAGATGCTTTTTGTACATCTCAAAACAGACAGATTGGTCAAGAGCACCGTTCGCAGCCTGTATACGAAAAGTTTCGATCGGCTCTGGCTCCGCGGCACGAAGGTCGACACCATAGACAATCCATCTACCGTTTGAGATATCGGTCGCTCTGAAAATCCCATACCAAAGATAGGTATCACTTTGCCGGACAAAAACGGGAGTTTTCAAAGGGATTTGCTTTGAGAAGCGGATCAGATGACTGGTCATGTCAACCACTACGATCAAGTCGCGTAGCGCCCGATCATTCACGGGCTGAAACAGATCATCTTCGGATAGGTCATCATCAAACAAATCATTCTCGGATTGATCGTCAGCGGCCCAATTGTTATCGGCTCGATCATTTTCGGCGTGAACCCGAAAGACGAGGATGTTATCTGCGTAGCGTAGCAACGACACGCGGCCTACAGCATCCGCGCCCATCGATTCTGGGCTCACGCTCTGGAGAGCCACGGATAAGCCCAGGACGCGCTCCCGCTTTTCCACAGCATGCGCATCCAGCAGACGGATTTCGCTTTCTATCCGGTAGCAAAGCACCCCCTGATTGTAGAGAAAGTCGGTTCCATAGGCTAAGATTGCCACGGAATATGGCGCCGCCGTAGCGACTGATTCGTGTATTCTAAACGATGTTCAATAGCTTTCTGGTAGGAATAGTCTTTCCGATATTTGGCCCAGTGGGCCTCTTTGCTAAACGGGAGAAAGTTCTGTGTAGAGTCAGCTTTCGGCTTCCGAAAGGGGGGTTGGTCTTTTGACCTCAACGATCTTGCGTGCGATGGGATCAGTCCAGAGAGAGGCATACAGCGTCCTGCTAAGACGGCTTAGGTGGACGAAATCACGGTCGTCCAGCAATATAGCAATTTCAAATAAAATAACCCAGGGAAGGGACTCGAGACCTCGCGAGCGGTAGGTCGGGGGAAGTGAAGGGGGTATAGTGGACATGTTTTGATGACGAAGATGCAAATTTGGACATTGAAGTGACAAACAATGTGGCAGAATAAGAGCGTGAACAAGGTGCCACTGGAATGGAGTATGCATTACTGTGATGATACTCACTGCAAGAGCCCCAAAGAGGGGGCAATCTGGAAGAGATTGACATGGCTCTTCACCACGATCGGCACACGCAATTCACTCGCAGGTTTATCTTACATTGAAATGGGCGCGCACCCATCTGTAATGATTTGGTAATCAAAGAAACTCCAAGGGGCCCGGGGCCTATAAATGGAAGCCCTGGTGCATTAGCCACCATATGCGAGCCCACACCCGGTTCCCAGGAGCGTAGAAGCTCTGGAGATTACAGAGACTTTCAATACGACGAATTTTGTGAAAATTTACTTGTCCAGGACATTACTTGGCTGCCGTACTTACGGCTCATACGAGGCAAATACATTCTGGTTGATCTTGACTCTTTTCGCCGGTCCTCAGAAACACGTGAATATGTTTCCGCGGCCTTTGATACCACTCTTGCCTTCGGCGCACCGGGTGCGAGTCTTTTTTTCCAAGTCTGAGTATCTCCAGGATTGCCTTGACTGGCGATAAGGTCACGCCGCTGCAATGCTTTGATCTTTTCCAATGAGACCTGGTGTCGATATCGACATCCCTTGTTGATGTGCTCAATATTTGGAGGAAAATCCAACATGGCTGAAAAGAATGAATTATCCCTTCTAGGCAATTGAATGCGAGGCACGAGGCTAGACTCATTGGCGGAACAAGCCAATAAGCGGTATCTAATTTGGAAGAGTGGATCGCTTTAGCTGCTGGGGCCCAGAATCACTCTTTAGCTCGGTAATGAGACAACCAGACTAGTTCTGAACTGACTTGGCCAGGTTGACAATCCTATTTGATTGCGTCGTATGAGTTTGCCACGGGCCACTGATGCAGGGGATACAGCCCGCTTGACGCGACGAGCGAGGTTCATCCCACTGTACCCCAGGCCGGCCATGTCACGCACTATACTCCCGGCTTCAGTGAAAGGCATTGTTTTTCGTGACAAACCGCTCATAGTGCTCAAACCTGAGTTTAGTGAAAGGCTGGCGAAGATCATAGCTATCGCAAAGCCGGCAAAATGCAGGATCCACCGGCGAAGGGACTCTTCCGGGCAGGGTATTCTGCTGAATATGATACTAGCACCCGACACCGCCATATGGACACTGTGCGTGACCGATCTGTTTCAAGCTTTCTATAGAGCCAGGAAAGACGTCGGGATGCAACAAGCAACTCAATCAGAAATCCGCTTTATCCAAGCTCGTGTCGTACACATCGACATGATATCCCGGAATGAGATGGGCTTTAAATTGACTCCTGAAACCATTCGAGGCTTAATTGACGTCTACGACAATATACCATACCACTTGAGATCGTCCAGTTCTAGAAGATCTCACAACAACGACCCAAAGCGGGCATTTGTTCAAAAAGTCACTGATTTTGTATTCTGTACTTCTATTTCGGCCCTGCAGAGCCTGACAAAGGATGGAAGTGGTGTTCTCTTTGGACATGAATAAATGACTGCACGTCAGGCAATAGATCTTTTATTGATCTCTGAGATAGCTCCACAACCACAGGGCAGTCTTTCACGTGGCTGTCAGTTGCCCGTCCAAGAAAGAGGACAAATGAATGTATTCAATGGTCATTCCTCTCTCGAGCCGTGGAGCTTCGAGGAAGCTTTGCCTGGAAGAACCATTCCCTACCACCATCTTGCTCACTTGGCATATGCCGATCCGAGTTTCCCACCTGGAGCGACCTGGGAGGGTTTTCCGCCTTCTCCCGGAGAGGAGCAGCAGTTCCCTCCAATGTATGACCAGTTTCCACCGCGCAGAATGCTACTTCAATGGCCGTCGATGATTGCCAAAGACACTTGGGATTGGGATGAAATCAACGATCCCGGAAGGTATTACATGTCGGGCTAGAGATAGGACCGCTGGAACTGCACTAGGGAATGCAGAGATATTAGCGTATTTGAGCTCTAGGGTCATGAATGCTCATTGAATAGCCTTGCTGAGCTTCATGGATCCAAGTTCTGGCTTTCTTCAACGACGTCAATTGAATCTGCTTATACCCAGTAATGTATTTTCCTCCTTATTCTCGTAAATGTGTCACTGAAAGACCAAAGCGGGCTAGCTCAATATCCTCGTTTTTAACAGCAAGTTTGGTGTGCTTTGTGGAATTCTTGTATGGCCAGGAACTCTGAATCGGTGCTCATCTCTATCAGAAAGACACGGTGTGCCACGATTGTAAATCTGGTAAAAGTCGGCGACTTCGAGATGATGTACACGGCGTTCACGCGGAGGCTTGCTGCGAAATACACTCGGGCGGATTGGTGTAAGTAGATCGTGTCGTGCGAAAGAAGCTTTTGGAAACCTAGAATTGGCAGTATCAGTCAAGGGACAAGATTACTGAATACAGAGCCCGAGGTGTTGCTTGTTGCCTCAATAGAATCGATCGACTCCGTAAATGGGCTGCAGCTGCAGGTTAGTCGAGCTGGAAAGGGAAAAGAGTGTAAGTGATGATACCTCCATTATTTCCAGCTAGCAGAAATATGCCGTCGTGACTCGATTGTGCTGATCTCGAGCTTCAAGTCTTCTGAAGGACGTGTGAGCTCAGCGGTCGTCGGAAGTGGACTGGAAAGGGGAACGTGAAAAGTACGAGGATGTGCGTGAAGTGCTAGATCAGATTTTCAGCTTTCTGTGGCTCAGTAAAGTCAAGACTTCTGCGGAAGCTCAATACGTACCATGTGAACTAAAGCTGAATGGGTGCCCTGACAGAAGACAGCTGTGGCAATCAACCAGGTCAGATACAACCTGGCCATGAAGGCATCAAAAACCGGCCTTCAAATCCTGACTGCCAATTATTCGGAGTTGTTGAAATGAAGCATATAGCTTCCTCGAGAACTAGTGCTCACTGCTCACAGACAAATTCTGAAATCACTTCGTCGTAGGCGACCGGGCCCAGCATCCCCCGCTCAGACAATGACATAAGTCAATAAGCTGAGCGAGTCATACTATATCAAGATCGTGACACAGGAGGGTGATGGTAGGTATTCTGTGAAAATGACATTGTGCTGATAGTTTGTAGGAAAATAGATCCTGGGATGGTAGGGGGTAGTGGAGGGGAGTGATGGGTGGGAAAGTAGGAACCATCCGGGCTCGCAGGTGCTACTTCTTTTCCATTCCCTTCCTGGAGACCAACGTCGCTTCTCCATCATCTCGACCAATTTCATCAGCCGACATAATTCCCTTGCTTGTGAGATGTTGAAATCATGGTTCATTCAATACGCCCTGCTCACTTCAAATCAAATCACAACCTCGATGCTTGATAATACTTCTAGTCTTCGAGTGCAACCCCCCGGTCCTGCATCATGCTGATTCCCGGTGGTAGACCTGACTCTGATAGATTGTCATACGTACTTCAGCTGATTTTCAGACTATAATACCAGTGTTTCCTCTCTCGGTCCTCACATTGCTTCACATCGGCTCCTGCTCGAGCGTTCTCCGACACGACACTTGCAAAATCAATACGTGTCTAGGGTGGTCGCCTCTTGCCTACAGTTGTAAACCTCCGGCCATGCTACATGCTTATACATGGTGGTATGTCTAGTTCTCTCTAATGACCTGCCATCCGGGCTAATGATCAGATCATGGTTCTCGGCTTTTACCTCTCTTTGTCCCCACATCTATTCACGAGACCCCCCTGCTCGAGCCTACTCGAAACGACGTTCGATAAATCGAAGCTGCTTCAGATTACATTGCGAATGAATCAAAATATCTTGAACCGTTCAAACCCCATCTGATCCAGCTCTTGGGGTGATGCTCATATGAGGCTGTTTGGTAATTGTCGAGGGCCGGTACCAACAGGTCACAGTAGACATTTCTTCGCCGTGGAACTCTCTATTGAGGAGATTCATCCCACTCAATCCTACCCGGAAAGACTTGCTGAGCTAGCCAATCGAAGTCAGACCACTGAGGCGAAGACTGCCTCGGTCTGCACTTCATCTTGCTAGACGGGCGGGAGGTGGACAGAGGTCACAAACGATTCCAACGCATCCTCCACCAGTACCGGGCCGGCATTTCCAGATGATGGGCTTCGGAATACGAAAGATTAATGACAACACATGATGGCCGAAGAAGAGTCTTCAAAATCTAAAGAATGCAAGCACTATGCAACGAAGCGTCTCGCAAAGTCTTTCTCGACTTCCAGCGACACTGTTGTCACGAAATCTCGCCATATTCTTGAATAGCAAGATGTAGGTCTGAGAAATAAGGCATGAAAAGTGTCTGGAACGCGTGAAGACTTCTGGAGATGCAGCCATGAAAGCACTGCCTACAGCAGATAAAGTATTTCATTGCTGGACTATCTTGACCCTGAATCTCTCCATCCAAGCAGCAGAGCGAATTTTCTCATCATACATTTCTGATCATCCTAGAGAATCACGCAAATCCAAAGCCTTCTTTCTTATGTCACAGTCGCTGGGATAAAACCCAATTTCTGCTGAGATTTCATCCAAGTGAGGAGACCATTTTCGATGTCAGGAAATCTTCCTTTCGCCCGCTTCGTGGGCTTGTGCAACATCGTATGTTGTCTTAAAACAAAGGGTTAAAGATTTCGTAAGATGCTGTAAAAGAAATCAGTGAATTCCAGGTCGACTCAGTCGACTGACATACACAAAACGTTTCACAGAATGAGTCAAATAGGTGTTCTGCCGAGATGGCTTCGGCTGTAGCTAGGCTCGCCGGAATGGAAAGCAGGAGCGCATGCAAGTTCAATCGTGGGAATTCGATTCAATTTGACTTTCTAGTGACTCTACTTTATATAAAGCGCATTCCAAGCTTCATACTACACATTCAGTTCAGCAAGGCAATCGGAGCGCAAGCCCCTTCGTTGGTGAATTCTCATGGGTGACAATTGAATAGTTCCGCCCTGTTTGTACGTATCCTCAAGAGCCTAGACCACCGAACCTAGACCACCCCTAAGTGAGACCAAACGGCTAGCCAGAGCATTGATCCGGGAAATGAAACTGTGATTCCAAAAGACCGAGGAGCCCGAAAAGGAAGTCCCGACGTCGAAAACTGCGCTATCTCCCTCAATTTTGGTGTCCCCACAGCACTGCTTACCGGACCACATTGTTGGACATTCGCAGGTATATCATTTTCTTATTTAAGAGCAAGGGTCCCATGATCACTCTTCAATTTGATCCATGTCAACCATTGCGCGCACGAACCTGCTCACGGGGCCATGACCACCAGGGATGCTTTCAGCCACGCATGAAACCATGTCCGTAGGTGAATACGTTTTCGGACGTATTAATCAGGTATGCCGATACCAAAAGGCCGATCTTGCCACGCAGATGCGGGTCCCAATGACCTTCATTTGAGATAATAAGAACGGGTCGTCTGCGATTGGATCAAGCCGGCATTATCAAAATAGGCAGGAATACTGGCAAGATGCATATATGGGTGCTGGGGCTGATTACCGGGCCAAGAAAGGGGCATAAGTCCTTCTCGGAACGGTGTACTGGTCATAACAGCCTGGGAAGTGGTAAGAATGTGATTTTACGTGTAGACTAGATTAGTCGGGCTGACCCTATCACAGCCAACAGAAGACGATGTGGGCCCGTTCCCGAGACAAGTCCCATTGGGCAGGATTGTTTGATTATCAATGCGGCCTAAGCCTGTGCACTAAGTCACTGGTAGGATTGCCGTTCCCCCCAACCCCGACTGACCGACACTCTTCAACACCACGGGACGAAAGTGCTCACCCTCAGTCCAACATCCCCTCAGACTAGAGCTTTGCTATTCAACCGCTCCTTCCAAATGGTTCGTCAGCATATAAAACCGTCTCAAGACGGGATCCAGCAGATCGAAGCTCAAGTAGCAGCCACCAACCCAAACTCCGAGGACTCCCACTAAGAGCACGATCACACGGTATGACTGTGTTTGATGTTTTTAGTCCTGAATCACAAGGCTAATGATAGAATGACTGAAAAGCGTGCTTCGCAACTCGGCCCACTATCTGCAAGCATTTTCGATCTCCAGGCGTACCATGCAGAAAATGACACTGCTAGTAAAGGTATGTTGCGTACCTGAGATTTTGCCAACTTTTTATTCATGCTTTGTTCAGGCCTGTCAGATAGCACCGAGACCACCATGATCAATGCGCTCCTGGATGAGAAAGGTACCAAGTCTATCAGCCAGAACTCGATTTTTCATTTACAATTTATATCATGAACTGAACGAATCTTTCTCCGGTTCTCTTGTACCAAAAGAGACAATAAAACCCGTCACGGATATTAAGAAAGGTCGCGTCAGCACCAGAATCAGCGGCAAATCGCTAGTTATGAATGGTGACGCAAAACGTAGCCCACAGACGGATATAACTCGCACTCATATCATGACCGGAGGAACAGTAACAAACGGAAGTCTTCTTGTCAATGGTGATATAGACTTTGATACACTCATGCTGATCTTGAGCCGCTCCCACTGGAGGGGAACATTGTGGATGGAGTGGTCACGAGAGTCAGCGAATAGCGACTTTTTAAGACGGGAGAGACAAGCACATCCTTCAAGCTCTGCCGAATGACAAGGCACATGTACTGCGAAGTTTTTAATAAGATTGTCATCTGTTGATATTTCAATGAAAAATCCCGCTTAAAACCTGATAGCCTCATAGTCTTTAACCTCCATTGTAAGTCATCCTCTCATTGACATTAATGAATTGAATGACTTTCAACATAGATACACTGGCATGATACACTGGCTTCATGATTCATAGCGCTCGCAGACTCCATGTATTATCAAAACCGCCAAAAATTGATGTCATTCTTGGCCCAGATGCCATCTCGATGGTCTTGGCTGTGACGAGTCGATAGTCCCGCGGCTTGTCTTGATTTCTCGTAGACTGAAGAAATAGCCGAGGATCAAATTCTTTTGAACACAAAGACCAAAGTGAGGTCATCTTGCCTCTTCCTTGGCTGTTTCTTGCCATGAAGACCAGTGAATCTTACCTAAAGTAGTATAGCGTAGAATGCATACCCTCCTTCAACATCATGTCTCTCCCAAATTCCGCCCGAATGTTGCTTTGTGTGGGTACTTTTCAAAGACGCATCATTCATAGAACAGAATTTTACCAAGACGGCCTTTTGTTTTTTTCTTTTTGGGAAAAGTCAAAAAATTCGCAAAATTCGTTCGGTCATCTTAGGGCAAGGGCATGCGTATGCCCCCTTCACCCGGCTCGACAAAACTTTCGTGATGGTGAATAGACTCCGGCCCATTATCTCCAACAGTCTTTCATGAAATAAGATGTGAGGGGCTGATACTTTAAGCCAGTATCAGTCGGGTCGACTCAGGGACTGGATGAGTGCAGGATGTTATGTTTTTCCATGTTTGGGGACTTGCACGTAGACTAGGACCTTGGGCCACTCGCGAGTAGGCTATAGGAGAAAGCATCGAGAAGGTAGAAGATAATGTCACTTACAGCCTATTCTAGCATGCTTGTAGAGGCAATCAGTGCTGGCATGGAGCAAGGATTTGAGCCACAGGGCCCAGGAACTTCCAAACTTAAGTTTCCTGCTGACGTGGCCTGCAGTATGGCAGTTTGCAATCACACACATGCATCTGAGCACTTGAGCGTGAGGACTCAAGACTGGAAAGGCCTGGCGGTTACATACCTATTGCTATTGGATATAGAAGACGGACAAATTCGCGCTCCTGGCATCTTGACGGCCAATAGAAAGGCCCACAAGATCATGAATGAAAATCCTGCAAACGATTTAAATGAGAGAGCCCTCAGGGTTTAGGTATTCCAATCATTCAGTTTTCTTATCATTCAGTATCCCAGAGAACGACTTGGGCGAGAGCTGGAAGGTAAAGCTAGCCAAATTCTGAGCCAATTTGCCTGCGTTTACAAGTCCCCCTTTCAGCTCTTCATCTCAAAATCACCTGAACTCAATAAGATGCCCTCCTTTTCAAGCGCCTCGCAGACTTTGCCTGCAAATGCTGCTCTTGGGGAAGTTCGCGAACCATCGGAGGATCTTGTCACGGCCTTAAAGGATGCTATTCGGGATCCTTTAGGATCGCATACGGCTGTCCACCTCCTTCAAGAGAAAGTGAAAGAGGATTTCCGCCTGCGAATGCGTGTCCGAAGTCTTCTGGGAAATACCTGGCTTCCAGAAAAGCTAAGCACTCTCTGGAATGTCACATACGATTCTGCAAGCAAGGAGGAGATCGAAGCTCGGTTGCTTCGCCAGAAAGAAATTCTCTACGATATTGGGGTCGGAAAGAGAGATCTCTACGAGCTTATTCCATACGAAATCTTAAATTGTCCTAAATGCTACGAATTTTGCTTTGGCACTGAAAAGCCCGATGACTTCTTTTTCTGCATCGCTGCCAAGGCAGAAACACCAGAGGAAAGAAATCATGTGCTTTTTCGATGCCCACCGCAGCTGCTACTCCGGATGTCCTTAGGATCTGAAGAATGGCTCAAAATCTGCCGAGAAAACTTTCCAGATTTGACCTGGCAGCCCCTTACTCAAAAAGAGAATGATGAATTATTTACTTCTTTTAAGAAAAAGGGTTGGATGTGGGATTGATATTGGGAATTGAAGGACTTTCCATCATGAAGGACTTTCCATCATGAAGGAGATGTCCTTCCGGAAAACTCAATTGTGACACTGTGATCTCCGCCCTGGCCTGATCAATGACTTCTTGTACTGGTGCTTGTAGCTGGCCTTACGACTTATGCTGACAATCATATAAGACAACCTAGAACATACAAAATTTTCTCTTAGTATTTCATGTTGACGTCTTGATCGTGTGTTTTGGAAAGAATTAGAGATTTATAACCTCCCAGAGAATGCCAGTTCATTAATTGATCTACCTTACCAGAGATAAAAGGCCGAACCATGTACCGATTTGTGTCTTTTCGTTTCTTTGTTTTCCTTTCTCATACTGTACATCAAAAGACATTGGTCATTTGGGCGACAAAGTACCGCCTACCCAAGCATGCATTCCTTCAAGTGCCAGAATCTAGACCAGATGAGGCTTCTTGACCTTCCGCCTGAGTTGGTTATCGCTGTTGGAGATGAGTTGCTTCAATTACGAGATGCCGTAGCGTTTACTATTACAACAGAGCTTGCGGGTCAAGGGCTATTCAGAGCCTTAGCCGCGACCGCCATAGCAGCCTCGCGAGTAGAGAGAGATTTGCTCCTCGGTGAATATGTTTATGGCGTAAATCTTCCTAGTACTAAGTGGGAAAACCGATTATGGGATACTCAGATTCCCTTGTTAAACTATTCGGCGCGAATTTGTGATGAATGAAATTGGGCCGGACCTAATATATCCATGAAACAACTTGCTTTGATGGAGACCCTTGATGAAAAAAAGACAAGCTTATACTGATGGACGACAAGAGCAGAACACTGCAACATGATGAAAATCCATGAATATGAACATTCTTTCGGGGATCTTTGAGTCTCAGGCCGAATTTTTGAATTTAAACGGAGGTTACAATGACTGATGCCTCACAGTAGCGGTTCTAGCTCAGTCATATAGAGCTCAATACGTGATGCCAATTGGAGATACCGGCTGTTTGCTGCTTGGATCTCGCTCTCGATGTTCTCCTTGAGATCCTCCATCTAGATAGGAAGTTCGATGAATCAGCATGTCTCTCGAATGCAAACAGGCATAAAATACGTACCTTCTTCTCTGCCCGCTCAGTGCGGATTCGAATTTGCTCCATAGGAATTTGCTTCTCTGCACGTTCTTCTCGGAGTTGTTGCTGTACATTTAGAAGTTCTTCCATCCTGGTCTGTGCAAGTTCTGCCTTTTCTTGGGCATTCTTATGAAGGTGTCCAATTCGTTCATCCCAGTGAGCTAGTTGGCGTTGCAGGAGTTTCTCTGTCTGCTCAATATCTCGTACACTGGCACCTTGATCTGAAATAGCTTCCTTGTTCCGGGCGGCGCGAGATTTTTCCTCATCTTCCTTCTGCATCTCGGTGGATATTTCCTCAAGTAGCGTGACACATGTCTGGACATTATTTGAGGCCACTGTGAACAATTCTGACGAGGTCTGCAATTCTCGTGCTCGTTTTTGCAATCCATCAATCTGGCTTTTCTCCCGCCTAATTTTTCCGGCTAGCTCACTCAATAATGACTGCAATGTGACCGCAGATTCCAAAGCGTAAGGTTGCAGCCTCTCAGCTTCACGCCGAGTTCGAACCAATCTCTGTGTCTTTTCTTCAAGCTGTTGCTGCCTCCGTGCTCGCTGGTACTTGATATGATCAATATTTTCCGCTACCTGCGATTGCTCACGACGTAAATCTAAAAGCCGGGCCTTGAGCTCGTCGTTTCGTGCCACTTTTTCGTGTAATTCCGGCTGCTTTATCCGCTGTTCTTGTTGCGATCTTGCTAGGCGTTGTCGCATCTCCTTGTTTTTGGCAGAGAGCTCTTGGATGCGCGTTTTCATCTCCTCAGTATCGTTTAAATGTTTGTCAATGATCGGAGTCTGCGATTCACGGAACCGGACAAAGTTGATAAGGTAGGAAAAGACCTTCACAAGTCGATCATGGGTTGGTTTGTTCAGGTCGGTGAAAGTGAAGTCGTTAATACCGCACTGCGCGCATTTTAATTTTCTTCGCCAACACTTGTGGAGGCGTTCGTTGTGACATACCTCCGACAACAGCTTTTGGATTCTAATGAGGAGCCCCATGAGGTTACGGGTCTCCTTGGGAAAAATATCTGGATAGTCTCCGCAAACTTCGTTTGCAGCTGCATGCATTCCTGGCTCGACAGTTTCTCGAGTCACATTCATGAGCAGTTCCGCGAACCGTTCGAAGACTATCTGGATATGTTGCGGATTCGGATTCGCGAGGTCGGTCGAGGTGAACGGGATTCCAATATCGTTGATGCATCCTGCAATTTCCTTGTCGGGCTTTGGAGAGGTCAGTTAAGATTTTCTATGGTCTGATCTTTGATGTTCCATCAAGCTGAAGGGGCAACTAACCAAACGCATCAATGCATCGTTGTCGTCTTCCTTCTTACCACCACGACTGTGTTGCTTTTGGGCGCCAGCCATGCTCATGCGGTGGTTGTTCGACGTTTTGCCACAGCACCGAATGATCTAAATCGGGGAATGATAATAATGGAGGAGACAAAATTGAAATCTATCCACGAGATTGACTTTTCATTTCCAGAGGGCTCATTGAAGATATATGTATGATAAAGCTATTCTGGCACACCGCCCTGTGCGCTCCTCCTAGGACGTTGGTTATTTCCTGGTCACACATTAGGGGCGTCGGTCACTGAGGCGCACCGAGCCCAAGCCATGTGATACAGCTGCATCAAAGTCCGGTGATAGGGCCCCCCCCCACTTTACAGTTCATTGACCATTAGAACTATCGAGACCCGCGGGACGGGACGAGGCTGGAGTGGAAAGAATAGGAGGAGGAACTCCGCTCAGACCAGTGTTCTAGCCCTACCTTTGGCATTGATTCCCCTTCCGGCACGTCGAGATCATTTTTTTTATTTTTATTTATTTTTATTTAGTTAACTATTATTTTATATTTTTACTCTGTAGCGGGGCTCGCCTGAAAAGTAGAACACAGGCCATACAAGTTCAAGTATGATATCTCAAGCCTCAGCTCTGGGCCGATCTAGAGAATTTCGGTTTTTTTCATAGGTTAAGCAGTAATCTCAAGCCTAATTCTTAAATCTGAATACTGCATAGTCAATCTTCTAGTCAAGCCTGCAGCTAGTCAATATCTTGTCAATAGATCATATAAGAAAGGTCACAGTCGAGTCAAGATTGTTTCCATTGGCCTGGCCAGCCTTTACCGAACCATACTCACCGACCGAAGCATAAGATCCAAGAAAGGAAGGTGTCACTCCAAAAGACCGGGGAGCCTTGAAAGGAAGTCCCGATGTGGGAAACCGCGCCATTACCTTCCTATCACCACGTCACTAACTGTCTAACACCATTGTTGGACATTCACATGAATATCTCTTTCCTGTTTTAGAACAGTGGCCCCAGAATCACTCCCGAACTTTGGCTCATATCCCCACTACGCGCACGAACCTGCTCAAGCAAAGGGGATGCGGACCAGGGTTAATTCCAGCCGTGCATGGGACCATGTTCGTGGGTGGACTCGTTGTTTCTTACATATTGAACAAGTATGCTTATACCAAGGAACCGACCGTATCCAGAAGATGCCTGCCTCGCTTCTGATGTGCATCGTAGATGAAACACACTTAAACCGATTTTCTAGACCGATTGGCGCCTGGGGAAATGCCGATAAGCAGTCTAGCTCAAAAAAATATAGGCTATCCATCTCTATTTTATCCTGAACATGTTCTGCCATCTCCATAGAGACTCTTGTAATAAATTCCGTAGTTCTCGTTTCCACTAGCTTGATGGTACATAGCGCTTGCAGGAGCCAACTCTGAAGAACACCATAAGGCAGACAAGTCAGTACCTCGGCCTCAAACGCCACCCCGATAGCCTTGACTGCGACAGATCGAATCGATGCTGCCGTGAATTCTGAAATTTCGTTAACCGAGGACAGCGACCAAAATCAGTATTGTAATGCCAAGAACGGCAGGGCGAAATCATCTTGTCTATTCCTCGCCACAGAGGGATGGCTGTAGCATTTCCCCCAGAACAGTATAGCGCAGAATGCCTACCCTCCTTCAACGGGATGCCTTCCACCAGTCTCGGCCTGGTCTTACTATTTGTCGAGCCTTTCCAAAGACGCGTCACCATTGGGACAAATTCTACCTCCACTTGATTTTCTGTCGGCTAAGAGCATCAGACCTACTACTCTACCCGAGTAACTTACGGTCTTTGCTTCTGTTTGTGCATACAAGGCAATAATTTTTTCGGAAGACGTTCTGGAGCCTCCAAATTCTCGAACCGTTCAATCGTCTTTGGGCGTGCCTCTACCTCACCCACTTGACTCTACGAAGACTTCAGAGGGCTGGATAAATTTCCTTCCATTCCGTTTTAGGCAAATCTCTTCTGGAACAAAGACATTTGCCTAAAACGGAATGGACTTGCAGGGATCATTAACCAGGTGGTCTGACTAGGCAAAACCACTTTTGAACAGGCTGAGATGAGATATGGCGTCGTTGGTTTTGTATAACTCTTAGTTATAGGCCTAACCATAGAATATTTTAGGTCGTAAGACAGTGGTCTCGGCATATGATACATACTCGTTTGTGATAGGATTCCCATCAGAGTTTCGTACTTGTTAAAGAGGAGGGTGATCGATTATATGGAAAGCAGCAGAGAACCAGATTTTCGCGATCATCTGCAAGATGATACATATAATACGAAGGATACTTTTCTCAGTACATTCACTGCGTCGGGTGCTACTTCCTTTTAACATTCAAAAAGTTGGAAAAGAAATTAACTTTCGTAGTTTGGGCTACTTCAGACAGGGATCGTAGGGAAAGTTTTGATGGGAACGTTTCCCTAAGATCACTACTCGTATATGCAGCTAGTCAATTTACGCTATTCCCAAACTATCAAATGTTGTCCACTCGGCCAAGATATGACTGATTAGGTATAGCATACCAATATCCTTGCTAAGCCTAAATCTGCCCGATCGGCGAAGATCAGGAACCACTTTTACTAGGTTCTCAGGGGTTCTATAGCCTAGCCTTAGCCATTGAGGGATGATGGTGGCCCACTCGCACAAGAATTGACTCAAAAGCTGCAAGCTTCGATCAGGAGTCATCTTCTGATTTCTCATCCAGACTGATGAGATGGTCCTGAATGCTTCAAAAATGGAGAGATATCCGACCGGTAATCCGCCTGGCCGTTGGCTGGAAAAAGCCATTCTGACGCGCGCTTTAGGATTCGACATACCATTCAACCAAATGCAGCTCGCCATGATAGAATGCATGACCAAGGAACTCTCTTTGCGAATGTATTTGTCGACGCGGAAAAGCCCTCAGTCATTAACAGCTCTATATGAATTCATACTCAACGACCTGGATTCCAATGAGAGCCGTGAAATTCTGGTACAATGGATGAAAACAGTAGAAGGAAATCAAAATCTCTCTCACTGGAAGAATCCTTGCTGGCCCCTGAACAATGATCTAATAAATCGGCAACTATTGACTCAAGAGCGTAGGTAACGAAAACCTGATTATGGCTTTCTATCCTTGCTAAAATTCACAGAGATGACGGAAACTCTCCTCTATATTATGTGTGGAGATCAGGGAGTATCTTTGGCGGAGTTGAACTCATCTTTGAAAACAACCAATATCAGTTCACAAACCCGACGGACACTCCAACAAGCTCTCTCGGTGCGCAAGTACGACATATGGAGATTGACTCGATTATCTCGTTAGTGCCAAATATCCATCAAGCCAAACTTCATCCCCGAAATACTCACTGGCTTTCAAGGTGCTCAAAATAACAATGAATGCTCTACATCAGAGCAGGTCTCATGGTCAAAAGAGAATGGGTACTCTCAGTCTCCAGATCTCTCCTTCGGGTCCCTGATGACCTCTACCCAGCCAAAACCCATACTGAGTTCGACGCCCGTATTCGACATACTGCAGGGTATATCATCCCGTAACTCGATAACACGGCAGGGTTTGACCAAAAAAGAGTCTCTTCATCACATTCTAGTCATCGAACCTTGTACTCGGCATCTGAAGCAGCAGCTCCCCTCCTCTGAATTGTCAATGTTGTCTACCACGGCATCCCTATCGAGCACTGGGACCTCCACGACCTTTTCACCTTGTGAAGAGTCAGCTCAAAGTGGATTTGTTCTCCATCAGGATCTTAAGTCCTCTAAACAAGGGGAACAAGCCCAACTTGACAGCATAAATGGAAGGGGACCCAGCGCTATCTCCAAGTCCCCGCGTATCCGCTGTAAAGAGCCCGGCTGCGAAAGGCATTTCAAACGCCAAAAGTATTTGGATCGTCATATGAAGAATCATTCGACAGAAAAGCAATATCCTTGTGAGGCTACTGACTGCGGACGGGCTTTTACACGCAGTGACACTCTTCAGCGCCACCGCAAGCAAGTTCATAACTTGCAAACGACACGCTTTCGCAGGAATAGGGTAGGTATCAGTTCCGCCTTGTAAGCCCTGGCAATTTTAATTGCCACAAGCGCCAGATCTGCAGCAGTTGCCCCGGTGGGAGTCCACAGAAGCGGTTGGGATGAAACTCCCACAAGGAGCTACTCAGCATATACACAAAAGAAAAATATGCAATACGACGTGTGGTCGTGAATGAAGATATTACTGGGTGGGCTTTAGAGCTTATGACAAGCTGGATAGATACTGGAGATCTGTTCATCGATCAGATTGACTTTGGAAAGGTGTGTGCAAGTGAGTTATAGTATTTTCTGCTGGCAACGCTATTTTTAGTACGGAAGAAGGTGGTTATGAAGTTGCAATATATTTGTATTGTAGGAGTTCAGATTTAAACCACACCATGGAATGATAGGATTTTTGAACCCAGTAGGCATGTGATCTCTCTTGACATAACTCACCTTGTGTACATTTTCAATAAAATCTCACATAAAAACATCACTTATACTGGAATCCACAACTATTTCTTTAGATACATACACGCAAATGAAGGACCAAGAAAAATACAGCAGATAGTGAAAAGCCAGGATAGGTCTATCTCATGAAGATGTGGACGGTCTAAGACAAAGTAAAAAAACATCTCCATTTATCAATTGTACCCTTGGGACTGAGACTCGAGCACAAACGCAGGGGTAGTTGTAAACGGTACCGAGATATACGCAGGCACTCAGCAGCCACTCACACTAAAACTCGAGGAACTGCAACAACGACTGCGCCTCGGACCCACAAAGCAGGCTCACATTTGTGATAACCATTTCATTGCAGCTCGCTCGGACGTCGAGACCACGAGCAGTGAAGAGGATAACAGACACGTCACGACTCGGGAAATATAATGGCCGATCGACAGCTGGAAAGAAATCAGATCTCCTGCGGGAGCGAAACGTGAAGCTCCAAAGGGATAAAACAACAGAAAAGTCTGTAAAGGGAAAGGAGTACGAGGGTGGTTTTCAGATTATGGGCTGCAGGAGCATTACTCTAAATCAGTCAAATCTTGTCCTCGTGGACAAGAAT